GATGGGGCTGATGCCTTCCCCTGATCAGCCCGGTCGCCTCCCACAAAGGGAGGCCAGACTGCGGCTTAGGCCCACTCCCCAAGGTGGGCAGGGAGTGGGCCTAAGCCATCAGTAGGACATCCCCTGAGGGCTCCCAGTATGTGAGAGGGGGCAGGCTGGACTGAGGGACCACCCCCCCCCCTCCAGTGCATGAATTTTGTGCACTGGGTCTCTAAAATATATATTCATTGCTGGCAGTTGAACATCCCCCAAGGGATGTAGCAGTGTGCCAAGTGGCAGGTGGGCAGGGAGGAGCCCAAATCGGGGCTGGGCACTGAGCTGCTCGCACTCATAACTGCCCACTGCGCCTGCTGCCACAGTGTCGGGAGAAGCTCCTGATGCCATGGCAGCTGCACTTGCTAGCCGTGAGCCCAGTTTCTGGCTGAGCAGCGCTGCCCCTATGGGAGTGCACTGACCATCACAGAGCAGCTCCTGCATTGAGCATCTGCCCCCTGGTGGTCAGTGTGCATCATAGCAACCGGTCATTCCAGTTGTTCTCCGGTAACAGTCACTTAGGCTTTCATTATATAGACTAGCCTGATGCACGTAGGCACCCGGGACCTGGGCTTCCCTCGCAGCCCCGGCTTCATCCTCTGGAAGGATGTCTGGCCTAATTAGCATATTACACTTTTATTATTATAGACTAGAGGGCTGGTGCACAAAATCTGTGCACTGGTTGGGGGGTCCCTCAACCCAGCCTGCTCCCTCTTGCTCCTTACCACCCGCCTGCCTACTGCTCCATACCGCTTGGCTCGCTGCTCGTTGGAGGGGAGAGAGGCTCCCAACACCACCACTGAGCTCACCAGCCGTGAGCCTGGCTTCTGGCTGAGCGGCGCTCCCCCTGTGGGAGCACACTGACCAACAGGGGGCAGCTCCTGCATTGAGTGTATGCCCCCTGGTGGTCAGTGCATCATAGTGACCGGTCATTCTGCCAGTCCTTCAGCCCTTCGGTCAATTTGCATATTAGGGTTTTATTATATAGGATAATTGACATATAACACTGTGCAAGTTTAAAGTGTACAGGGTATACATAGTTCAAAATATATATGTACCGCACCTCACAGAGTTTTCCCTTTTTTTTGTGTGTGTGAGAATTTTTAAAATATACTTTCTTAGCAACTTCAAATACACAATACAGTGCTGTTAACTATAGCCAGCCAGAAATATCCTGCTTTAGACAGGAATGGGAAATGAGTTAGAATCATAACTAGGTTTATTTTTTAAATGTCAAAATAAATCCTTAAAATTATATTAGAGATATCTGATTACTGGACCATCTAGAACAGCTATAATTGCCATATATAAGAATAGAAGGAAGGGGAAAGGAAAAAACAGGCATATATTAAATAAGTTGAAGTGGAGACAGGGTTGTTATGAGGAATTATAGAAGCACTCCCTTTATCAGGACACACTAGAAAATAATACCACACCCAGGATAATGATTTCCCTGAATGTCTTTTTCAAAAGCATTATCCACTAGCTTCATTTAGAAGTTGTTTACTGTTGTCTGAGGCACATACTTTCACACTATATCCTTATAGGGATCTTGAAATTTAGGTAGATGATTTGCACATGGGAAAACTAAAATTTATAAAGACTAAATAACTTGCCTAAGGTCACATGATCTTTAAGTAGAAAAGAGAACATGGCTGGTGTGCTCAGTGGTTGAGCATTGACCTATCAACCAGGAGATCATGCTTCAATTCCCAGTCAGGGCACATGACCCAGCTGCCAGTTGCAGGCTCAGTCCCTAGTAGGGGGTGTGCAGGAGGCAGCCATAAATGATTCTCTCTCATCATTGATGTTTCTATCTCTCTCCACCTCTCCCTTCCTCTCTGTAAAATCAATAAAAACATATTTAAAAAAAGAAAAGATAGACCAAGACTTTATACAGATATATTTGATCATAGTTATTATTTTTAGCACAAACTGACCTCACCAGATCTTAGCCCATTCAACATTTCTTAAGCTTACAACTGTCCTCTATCAGTAATACACACAGTAGATACTCCACAATAATGAGGTGCCTGTACTAGAATGTAAATGAATGCACTTTTTCCTTCAAGAACTCTCAATCTCTCTCTCTCTCTCTCTCTCTCTCTCTCTCACCTATTTATTTATCTATATACACAAACATACATATATATGTATACATTCATTTAGTTGATTGCTCTAGGATAAATATCTATATCACCCGACATAATATCTGTATATATGCATAATATTTATTTATGTATAGGCTTATATTCAATTGAATTAAACAGTGAGCTTAAAGTTATAGGTTAGGTATTAGAAAACTATGGCCTATTGGTTGGTTTCCTATTTCTGTATATACTATATAGTTTGTTTTTAAAATTTATCTTTATTGTTGAAAGTATTACAGATGTCCCCTTTGTTTTTTTGTCATACTGTATATTCTGAAATACTGCCACAGCTATTCATCCACATATTCTGGATGGGCAATACGGCCTTTGAGCTTCAAACACTTACCATCTGGCCCTTCAAGACATACAGTGCAGGAGTGAAGAGCCTCAGCCTCATTCTGTCCTTCAGGCATGCATTGGAGTGGGGGTGCGGGGGTGGATTTCTCCAGTGGTGTGACTACCAGATCTTACTCTCCTGAACTCTGCGTTTTCCCAGTTGCTAAGGGCTACTGTCCTCAAAAGATAAGGGGTGGGCACTGAACTTTTACCATTCCACAGACCCTACATGTCTGCTGTAAGGGTGTTTCAGGGGCTTCAAGGCTTCTTCCACTGACATGTCTAGAGAAAGGACACAGAGAATGGGTCTGCCTATGAAAGAACCTCTCTCTTCTCTTTTCAAAGCTTAGGTTGCTTTGAGGAGCCAAACACAGACAGAAGATCATTTCATTCTTTTCTAATATTCTTTTAGCCTAGGGTAACTAATCAACTTCATTTCACATTTCAAAAAAATTAGAAATAACAATGGAGCTTATGCAAATCACTGTAACAATTCCATTAATTAACAATTCAATCAGTTATTGTTCCTCCAGAATAAAGTTCATATGAGTCAAATTGTCTCTGTGGAAGCAAATGAACTTGAAGATAAAGTTTTCAAAATATTATCCGGTTTTCTTTCTCACTGAATATATTATTTAATTGGATTGATTCAAACAATTAACCTATTTTGAAATCTCTTCATATGCATATTGTCAGCAAGAATAAAGCATATATTTTTCAAATGTTTACATTTATAATCAAGAAATTCTCAACTTACATGTCTCTGGGACCCATCATATTCGCACCTTTCAATTTTTCCTAGGCTGCCATCCGAGAAATAAAGTTTCTCTGCACGGTGGTCAATGGTGAGGCCATTGGGAGTGAGTATGTCTGTACTGACCACCACTTGAGCATTTTTCCCAGTCAGGGTAGATCTCATAATACTTGGATGCTGTTCATTCCAGTTGGTCCAAAACATTAAACTAAATAAATTTAAAAAATGTAAAAATAATTAAAATTTTCATTAACAGTAAAAACATTAGTGGAAACATGGCAATGTCAAACTATTTTAAAAGAACCTAATTATTTCTCGTATCCTCTGGTCCTTAAGGAAGTGTAGGTAATAAAGGGGATACGTATATTATATTTGCATGCATATTTTTCCAATTTTAAAAAAATGAAACCTGAAAACTATTTCTGGAAAACAATTTTCTATGTATTCTCTCAAAGAGTAATTTAATTAAATTGAGTCAGTTTTCTGCATAGTGAGGATTTATTATAACCAGGTATAAAACCATCATCTTAAATTTTCTCTGAACTGAGAATATGCTTACTTATTAATATCTTTTTCAGCAGGTCCAATATGACCATTTTAGACATTGTTCTTACCCTACTACTTTTCTTCAATTGGTGAAAATCAAAATCTCCCTCTCCTTCCAGGTTCGCTTTTTAAATTCTGCATGCTCCATTTAAATGTTTTAGAGAAATACAATTACTAAACTCCTATACTAGTATTTCTTTAGTATCTTGTTTTTTTCTCTCAGTAAGCTTTTTCTATAAATTACAATGTTGTTTCTGGAATCCCAGGGGTTATCAACCCTTAAACATAATATTTGTTACTTAAAGATTTTATAGAATGCTTTGTCAAACTATTCTTTGAGGAAGTCCTAGGATTCTATGGCCCTTAGAGGTCACTGGAAGAGTGGAGAGGCTGCAGATTCCAATCTCCAAGCCCTACTTTTACTAAAACACTCTTTCTCTCCCCCTTCCTCCTTTTTATCTATAAGACTGTACCTAAGAGTTTATTAGAAGATTGGGTGTTACTGCTTAGGATGGAAGATGGAAAGAAAAGGGGAAGGAGGGAAGAAAAGAAAGAAAGAAGGGAGGAAA